GAACGTGGAAGATATTTGATTTTGACATGCACCCGGTCGGGTGGGCACTTTACCCGGTCGGGTACCCGGCCCAAGGTGTTGAAAAACACCTATAAATAGCACAATTTTCCTTCACAAACAATCATCCCTTCTTCCATACTCTTAAGCTCATTTTAGAATAGTATTTCTTTTATATTTTTATAGCATGTTTAGTCTCCAAATGAGGAGCTAAACTTTTCCATCTTGGTTTTGCTCCTTTGAAGCTTAATGAATTTGTAAGTTGTGAGTTATTATGTTTAATCTTCTTCCTTGAATATTAATTCTTCCTTTAAATACTATTTCTATATCAATGTTGGGGAGTGTTACTAAGATGACAATTAGTTAACATCTTGACATTAGTTATAGTAATAGTTATTTCTTTCTCTACGTTAATATCGGGGAGTGTTACTAAGATGACAATTAGTTAACATCTTGATATTAACTATAGTAGGATTCATCTTCTTTAATATTCTTTCTTGAGTATTAATTAATTCCAATTCATATTTCATATTAATATTTTGAACATTACTTAAAGGATCAACTAGTTTTGTTTCATATATTAATTAATACTAGAATCGGTCGATTAATACGCTTGTTATTAATTCGGTCCTTTCACGGTAGTAAACTTGGATCATTAATGCATGCATCTCATGATTAATAATATAAGGGGAATTAATTACATTGATTAACCAATAAACCGCTTGTGTTGAGGTTATCAATCTCAATCGTTTTCATCTTAAGTTTATTGCTACTATCAAGTTAATATATGGCGCTTGTTCTATATTGACTCGATAGTAAGTTTTATTAATGAACGCATCTCGTTATTAATAACTACCCTCGATGAACTGGATATACTCCTCGATTGAGTATTCGAGAGGAAGATAGTTAAAGATATAACCGGGATCCACGAACATTTCATTAAGTGGATAAAAGCAAAACCAAGTCTTCTTCTCATTAATTAACCCACATAACTCGTTCATCTTTGTGTTTTAATATTCTAAAAAGTTCTTCAACAACAAAACTAAAAAAAACCCTTATTACTAGTTATAAAAAGAGAAGTATTCATTTCCCTGCGGATACGAACCTTACTTCATTATACTACGTATAATTGTTGTATTGAATATTATTTTGAGTGCACACCACGACTAAGTGCACGTCACCCGGTTTGTGCGTCCTTCCACTTATCAAAATTATTTTTCATTAGTTCAGATTTACTTTTTTTTTATTACCGGTGGCGGTTTGGGATGAGGCAGGCTCGTCGGCGTTGTGGCTGCCGCCACCCTCCTCCTCGGCCGTCTCTGGTTCCATTTCCTCCGCATCTTCATCCTCAAGCTCATCTTCGTCAATGGTCGTCGGGATTTGTTGTTGTTGTAGAAAGCGGTTATTATGTCGGGCCAATTCTTGTTGTAGTTGTTCTTCGGACATCGCATCTCCATATCTCCTTTGATAACCCGTTTCAAAATCATTTCGGGTTTAAGATGAAGAGCCGGCAAGTTCTTTACCTTTGCGGGATTTCTTCCTCACAATCCCGTTCCTTCGGTTGGCTCGAGGTTACCCAAATCAACCGAATATCTACCACCTTCCATCTTAAAAATGTAACAAATATTAATTTGCAACAAATATACTAATGAATACAAAAGTAATGCAACTAATTAAAACTATTTTAATTAAAACTTTAAACTAATTTAGTGAAAACTACTTTAATAAAATGTGAAGTACTTTAATTAAGTAGTGAATTAAAGTGTGACTCTAAAATACAAATTAAAATTCGAACTAATCAATAGTATTTTTCAATAAATAGTTAAATACTTAAAACTAACAAGTGTGACTTTAACCAAAATGTAAGTAATTAAATTATAGCAACTTTTCAAGTACTTTAATTTAGTGACAACTACTTTAATAAAATGTCAAGTACTTAAATTAAATGATTAAACTACTATTTTTCGTTCAAATATAAATTCAAACTATTATAATGTGACTTTAACTATAATGACAATTAACTAGTTTTTAAAGTAGAGTTGTTTTAGCAATTAATGGGAATACTAATTAACTAAATAACTAGTATAATGAAAAATGTAACAATTAATGGGAATACTAATTACCTAATTAACTAGTATAATGAAAAATGTAACAATTAATGGGAATACTAATTAACTAATTAACTAGTATAATGAAAAATGTAACAAAAATACTAATTAACTAATTAACTAGTATAATGAAAAATGTAACAATTAGTGGGAATACTAATGAACTAATCAAGTAATGTTAATACAAAATGCAAGTAACAAGACAAATGTATGAATGTGTATAGTAATTAATGGGAGTAAATGAGTAATAGAATGATTTTAAGTCATATTAATTAAAGTGTAACTAATATATAATATATTGTTTATAGTATATAATATATAAGTATACTACTATAACATGAGTAATACACTTATATTTAATACTTTAATATATAAACTATATATTAAGTAGATGTAGAATGTATGTATTAAGTAGATATAAGTAGATAATTAATATATAAGTAGATATAATAATTGTATAAGAATTAAATAGTAAAGTATACTGGAGATTGGAGAATAAGAAAATAAGTAGATATGAAATATAAGTAGAGAAGTAGATATTATTATGAACTAATAGTTTATAAAGTATATTTAATACTTTAATATATAAAGTATATATTAATTAAGTAGATGTAGTGTGTATGTATGTATTAACTATTAAGTAGATATAAGTAGATAATAAGTAGAGATTAAGTAGATAAGAAATATAAGTAATAGTATATGTATTTATAAGTAGATAATTAATATACAAGTAGATATAATAATTGTATAAGTATTAAATAGTAAAATAAAATATAATGGCCAATAAGAGAATTTGAGAAGATGAATATGGAGATGAGTAGAGAGTAGGATTTAGAAAGAGTTGGAGAAGAAGTGTGAAAAAATGTTTAAAATTAGGTGTATTTATAGGGTTTTTTTAACCCCCACCCCCCAAAAGCCCCGGACCTCCCTTTGTACCCACCCGACGGCTATATAGCCGTTTGGGAAGTGGGTCAACAGCCAAAAAGCTCTTTACAAAAAAAATGGATTTTTTTTTAAAATTATGGTCGTTAGGCTCGGACCCGGGTAGTGACATTTCTACATAATGGTTATTATTAGTCCTACTTAGGGCTAATGGCCCGAACCGGCACCGGCCATAGCCCGGGCCGGTCCCGGGCCTACCTTTAACTAACCCGAGGCCCGACCGGGCCTTGGCCTGGCCCTGGCCCGACCCAGGTCCATCACTAATCAGCCATTTTCCCACCAACCCTATCATCCTTTTTTAGTGACAATGATAGGAACCAGGCATATTAGTATAATAATAACCGTAACAGAATGATACTCTGTAATCTGTATTAAATAATTGTGGTAGTGTAGAAAGAAGGGTTCCAGGCCATGTAATTCATGGGTTTGGGCCAGCCCTTTAGAATAGAATCAGTATAAGAGTGGGAAGAAGAAAATAAGGGGGTAGGCTGGAATTCTGTTAGAATTGGGATGGGAGAGCGGGACCTTGAAGAGTCCCAACTATCTGTTTCTTCTCTTTCTTATGATTTCCGCCATTGTAACTCTGAGACCTTCATCAATACACTACTAATTTCTGCTGTTTTGATTGAGTCTCTATCATCGGTATCAGAGCACTCACTCCTGGAGTCTGAATCGATCAGAGTATGGACAATATTGAACATCATTTGAAGGAGATGAGAACGATGAAGGACGAGTCACTGGACAGGATGCACAATGGGTTGCTTCAACTTCGTCACAGGCGACATTGAGGTTTGATCGAGGACAGTCAAGAGTCGTCGACTGTCGGAAAGTAAGGACTCAGCATCGCCATTTGTCATTTTTCCTAGTTCGCAGTCTTGAACAACTTCTCCCAGTTGAGGGCCTTCCCAGTGAAATTTTTCGATGAAATTTGTTGAGCATATTCTTCATCAAGTCTAGTACATCCATACCAAATATAAGCAAAAAATTCAATCGGGAAGGCAGTCAAATGATTTTTGGAAGATAACTGCACCCTTTATATACATATAAAACGCAGTTATCTTCCAAAAATCGTTTGGCTGCCTTCCCGATTGAATTTTTTGCTGAAATTTGGTATGGATGTACTAGACTTGATGATGAACATGCTCAAAAAATTTCATCGAAAAATTCCACCAGGAAGGCCCTCAAAACGTGGAGACCGCACGGCGGCTCTGGTAAGGTATACCTTACCGGAAAGATTTCCTTATATATATATATAGAGTCCTGTTCCTATCAGGAGCTCCTGAAGAGAAGCCCCATGCGGACAAGCCCATCAGAGGGTCTTCCCGGTGGAATTTTTTGATGAAATTTTTTGAGCATGTTCCTCATCAAGTCTAGTTTGTCCATACCAAATTTCAGCTCAAAATTCGATCGGGAAGGCAGTTAAATAAATCCTGAAAACATACTGCACTTTATATGTGCGTAGAATGAGCCATAGTTTTCCATATGGCATATATATGTATTTTCCGGACCAGTTAACTTGCAAAAATCATTTGACGACCTTCCCGATTGAATTTTTGGCTGAAATTTGGTATGGATGAACTAGACTTGATGAGGAACCTACACAAAAAATTTGAGCAAAAAATACCACCGAGAAGGCCCCCAAATGGAGGAGGCCGGACGGGGCTCTGGTCAGGTATACCTGACCGGAAGACTACTCTCTCTCTCTCTCTATATATATATATATATATGTATGTATGTATATAAACAGAATAGTTGGGAGGGAGAATGGGTGGGAATACTGTAGCAATATGGGTGGATAATTGTTGAAATGTGAAGAACAATACACTGAACGATTTTGGGTGTATAAATGCTGTAGTGGGATTTGCCAAAAAAATGCTGTAGTGGGAACACCAATACACTGCCCCAGATAGAGTGGCAGCTCTAAAAATGATTGTTGTTCCCGAAGAGTCGACATCCACTTCAAAATAAATTTAGATCAATAAAAAAATGCCTAGATATCATTCCAAAGAAAATGCATAAATACAATTGAAATTCACTTAAGACAAACAGACAGAAACACATTATCATGGAATTAAAGCTTTCACACCCTACTAAGTGACGGTTAGTATTCTAATAGAAGCACCTTTTGTTGTTCATCCTATAAAACGGGACGATTACAAAGCACATGATCACTAATGATCGGCCTCTTAAGCAAGAAGCTCCTTTCATTGATAGTCTTCAACAAATGTATCTACCTGACTACCTCCATTTGATAAGAATACACAGTACACCACCTGCAAAATCAATGATCATTTATGCAACAGGGATAAGGTAAAATTACTTTTACTGATTTATCTTAGTGTTATATATTTTTCCCATGGTGCGGGAATGCTATAAATCAAGCACCCTTGAAGTTTTTTTTGGAATGTGCTGTTTTACCTTTTCCTTCAAAAGACCTTCTGAAATACATTTGACACTTCTTTTGTATCATTTCCTGTGAGCTATCAAAGGGGGAAAATGCGGAGTACAATTTTTCGAACTATTGTACATTTGGACTTAAAATGTATGCCCAACTTTATACGGAGTATGATGTTTCCTTCTATTCTATTACACTAAATATAATAGAATAGAAAAAAATAACTTTTTGAAAACACAGATACAGTTATTTAGATTCAACACATTTTGTTGGGGAAGATTGAGAAATGCCGGATGCATATGCCAACACAGTTTTTATTGTCCTTAATCTGCAAAAAGTGAGCTCTCTCAAATAGATTTAATATATTGTTTTGAAAGATGTGCTGTATCTAAAAGAGTGATATATCCAATGTCCTACTCAACTGAATTTTCTTCAAAGAACTACATGGGCATCTTTTCCTATTGGTTTTAACCTCGCTAGAACAGATCATGTTTAATAGAGATCACTTTTCTTTGCAAAAAAATCTGTTAGACATTATAACACTTTAGACGCTCACATAATAAATGCTCCGTATGCAGTAGATAAATATTGCTATTGTACAGTACTCATATCATAATCATAATCTATATAAGTGTGTATCCATATTATTGAATATACATATGCAATTAATTAGTACAGTTAGTAACATCCATTTGATGTAAGCAGAGTAGTTAGCATGTGTGAGCAACCCTCCACCTATAACCTTTGATTTAGAAAAGATTGTTCATGTATACTGACGAATTAAAATGTAAGTAATAGAAATATTCGTTTACCAAAAAAAAGTAATAGAAATATTCTAAAGATATATTACCGATGTCGATTATTTTGAATTTAAGACTCGGGCTTTAATTGTTTTCACGCCGCCGTATAGATCAAGTGAAATAATTGGGTTTAAGCCGATGTTTTTAAGCTGATAGGGACCCGGGCACTACAAATAATAAGAGTCGATTGGGTTCTAGGCCCAATAATTTAATGTTTTTCAATAATAGGGTTCTAGGCCCAATAATTTAAGTGAGGGCCGGCCCTTTAGTTTTATTATAAAAGGGGGTAGGGGAAAGAATAACGCAGGGAGAACTTGGGATCTGGGATCGGGAAATTGGGAGTGTGAGGCCACTAGAAGAGTCTCAACCTCTTCTTACGTTGTTTTTATGTCTTCCTTCATTAAACGTTAATAAATTTTTTCCTATTATCTTCTGTGATTGTTCCGGTACCTATCATTAATATCAGAGCCCACGATCGCTGCACCTTGTATGGTTCTCACTCGATCGAACATGGAGCAGCGGATAACTAATCTGGAGATATCGTTGGAATGGTCTAGGGCAGATATGCGCGCTGAGATGAAAGCTATGATGGATGAGAAATTGCAGATGCTGTTAGAGAAGATGGAACGTCTCGAGACCCAAAGCAGTCGCAGGCAGATAAGGGGACGATCGAGGAACCCTAGTCGTCGTATACTCGTATGAAGTTTGAAAACCATGTCTTATCCTCGTCGCCAACTTCATCGCAAGCACAAGATCCCCGTTTGCAGGCTTCTTCACTAATCGATGCTCACAGTTCCTCTTCGCGAACGGCCTCAACCTCCTCGCAGTTGTTGTCGCAAATCAATCCTCACATAAGCCTGGACCAGGTTGGCTCCGAAAATGGATTGCCGGGAATTCCGCCTTCAAAATTAAACAAGGGGTTGAAGACAGCTGCACCGTCAGTCCAGGAGCTAAGTCTGGAAGATGATATGATCCCACCTGATAATCAGGAGCTTTTGAAACTGCAGGAGGAGAAAGCCGAGGAAATTATTTCAGGTAAAGTGGAACCTGACAAATTGGAGTCTTGCTTTTTGTATATCCAGACGACTGGAACAGCCAATAGCTCTGATTTTAAGTCTAATCAGTTTGAAGATAGAGTTCATAGACAATGGAAAGAGAATGCTTTCAACATATACATTTTTTGTGCAAAGGATACCTCAGCTGCAGTTAGTTGGCCAAACTTGAATCAAAGTTTGCATCCAGTTTCATCTGCGGTGAATGGAAAGTATGAGGCAGTTCAGGAAATACAGATTGCTATTGTTTATTACCTTGAAAGAACTGGTGGAAGCGAAGAGAAGCCATATGAGAGGAAAAATGGTGAGTCTTACACAGCCTACTGAAAATGAGAATGGCTGCTATAAGGAATCAAATAAGATGATGACTAAGGGTAATCAAGAACAGAATGAGAGTTATGCATATGATAGACACACGCAGCTACCAACTAAATACTTTGACAGAGTGTACAAAAGAAAGAATAAAGAAGTCTGTTAGTAAACAATCTGTTAGTTTGTTAGTCAGTTTGGTTATTCCCTGCGTGGATAAGCTGTCTATAAATAGAAGTGATTTAGCTATTTTTGGTAGGCTGTTAGACTTGTTGACTGGCTTGTTGGAGACTGGGCATCTCGAACTGTCCCCCCTAATCCCTGTACTCAGTTCTTGTTCTCAGATATCAATAAACCCTAATTCTCTCAATTCTTACTACTTGTGATTGATATACAGTTTGAAATTGTTCTGATTTATCCAGTGTTCTATCATTGGTATCAGAGCGTCTTTTCTGGTGACCTGATTTCTTGTTGAAATCGAGAATTTTTTTTGGTTCTTACGGTGAATGGTGCGAACCAGAGCAAAAATGGAACAGAAGATGGAGGTGATGGAGCGTAACCAAAATACGACGCAAGAAACCTTGATTCAGATGCAAGCTGCGATCGCGAAACTAACGGAGAAGTTGGATACGATGAACGATGAAAGGCGCGAAAGAAGGAGATCGCGATCGCCACAAACTCATCGATCGAGAAACTCGAGTAGTCCGAGTCATTCCAGAGGTAATTCTACTCATTCTCATGTTCAAAATCACAGACGAAGAAATGAGGATTATAGAAACCCTATACAGTCTGGTAGGAAGATTGACTTACCCTTGTTTAATGGAACTGGTGAATATAATTGGGTTATACGCATGGAAAGATATTTCAGACTGAATAATATTGATGAGGAAGAAAGGGTTGAAGCATCTATGGTGGCAATGGAGGATAGGGCTTTAAACTGGTTTCATGTGTGGGAAAGTCAAACTGAAGTAACTGATTGGGAGACCCTAAAGAAATCTGTCATACGTAGGTTTCAACCAGAATTAATTCAAAATCCATATGATCATTTGTTAAGTCTGAAACAAACAGGATCTGTACAGGATTATAGAGATGAATTTGAAATGGTGATTTCTCATCAGAAAAACAAAGACAGAGAGCTGTTGAGGGGTGTTTTCATTAAGGGTTTGAAGAATGAAATCAAAGCAGAACTGAAACTATATGTCTCAAAATCCTTGACTGAAATTATGGAGAAGGCTACTTTGATAGAACTAAAAAATGATGCAATACAGTTGAAAAGAATGGAGGAAGACAGATATGGGAGAAAAGAAAAGGGTGCTTATGTTAACAAATATCATTCTGAAGGAGATAATTACAAAGCCCGGGCTAGTAACTCTTGGTACAGTTCTATGGGGAAAGGTGCAGGGCAGTACAAAGGAGAGTCTTCTGGGGTAAAATCTATGGGGAAGAACATCACAGAGATCCAACCTTCTGCATTCAAGAAGGTGGGCCCACAGTTATCTCAAGAAGAATATCAGAATAGAAGCAGAAAAGGACTTTGCTTTAAATGTGGAGACAAATGGAATCACCAACATATTTGTAAACTAAAACACTACAAGTTGATCATGGTAGAAGATTCAGCAGAAGAGGATGATTCAGATGATTCAGAGGATCCTAGTTCAGAGGAGGAATAGATCTTGATGGAATCCAAATCCATGCAACTGTCCTTGATGAGCAAAGAAGGTATTCCTTCTTTAAGAGCATTCAAAGTCAGAGGTATTGTCAAAGGAGCATGGGGAGAAGTAAATGTGGAAGTATTGATTGATAGTGGAGCTTCACATAATTTCATTGATCAGAAGATGGTGGATAAACTGCAGATTCCTTACACTACCATTAATGGTTACAAGGTACAGATAGGAAATGGGGACAAGGTATGCAACAATGCGAGATGTGAGTCATTAAATGTATGCTTGCAGGGCACAGCAGTGCAGCAGGATTTTTATATCCTAGAGTTGGGAGGCACTGATTTGGTATTGGGAATAGCTTGGCTGACTACTTTGGGAGATGTTGAGATTAATTTCCAAAGGCAGTCAATAAAGTGGAAAGATAATGGAGAAGTAAAGTGGATTCAAGGGGATAAACAGTTCAACTCTATGGAGGTGTCTTTCAGGACAACAACACAAATATTGCAGGATGCTGGGGAAGGGTATTTCATTTATTGTGAAGGCAATGTCAAAAGAGAACAAGAGGAAAATGAGGAGGAGGACACCTGGAAGAAGATACTGGCTGAATTTCCTGACATTTCTCAACCTTTGAAGACACTACCACCTAAGAGAGCTTGTGATCATGCTATAAAGATACAAGAAGGAGCAAAAATTCCAAATCTAAGGCCATATAGATACCCCCAGTACCAAAAGACTGAAATAGAAAGAATTATACAAGAAATGCTATCTGAAGGAATCATCCAGCCAAGTAACAGTCCCTATAGCAGCCCCATTCTCCTAGCAAGAAAGAAAGATGGGGGCTGGAGGTTCTGTGGGGACTACCGAGCTTTAAACAAGATCACAATACCTGATAAATTCCCTATACCCATCATAGAAGAATTACTTGATGAACTCGGTGGAGCTATGATTTTTTCCAAGTTGGATCTGAAATCTGGTTATCACCAGATTAGAATGAGAGAAGAAGACAGGCAGAAGACAGCATTCAGGACCCATGAGGGCCATTACGAATACCTAGTA